AAGTAGTATTCTGAAAAACTACCTATAACTTAAAGGAGGATGATTTATTTGTTTGGTTGGTTGGTTGGTTTTATTTTTTTAACTTTTGGGCAGAAGTTGCTAACTTAAGTGCCTCCAGGAGGAGCAGAAAGGTGTCCAGAAAATGAAACTGGCCAGGTGAGGACTGGAAGAGTGAGCCAGCACATGGCCTCCAAGCAGTTAGGCAGCTCCCACTGGCTGCTTTATGCTGAGAGGGTCCATCTGGCCAGAGATCACACATTTTCAAGGAAAGCCAAAAATCTATATTTTTAAGTGAAGAAACTCCCTACATTTAAAGTTTGCCAACTAATTCCATTTTTTTAAAACATCAAATGAAAATAATTTTGTGCGAGTTTAGGTATGAAAATCTCTACATTTAAGATTTTTTTCCCCTAAGATATTTTACAAGTATTTTCATGAACATAGAAAGACAGCACAACATTTATCCTGAGGAAGACCTACATGAAAGAAAGTTCATTTTACTGGAATGGAATGGAATGGAATAGAATGGAATATTTAAAAGCCATAGAATTTTACAATCTAAGTGAAGTGAATTAGAAAAAAAGGTGGAGAAAAAAAGAGATTATAAATGTTGGTTCTTCACCTTCTTAAACATCTCTCATCCATTCCCTTGACATGTTCATTGCCACCAGCCTTGTCCATCCTACTAGTATAACTTTGCAGAAATAGTGCCCTAGCCCTCCAAGTCGGAGGCAGCATGCACAGAGTAGTCTGTTTTGTTTTATTTTTTAATGGATAATTTCAACCATATCCACCCTAGCGTAATATAATTTTATTAAGTGCATGTGTTCTACTACATTTTCTTCCTTTTTGCTGACCCTTAAGTTGAGGACTCTCAATGTAACAAAAAATAAAAACTCAAAAATCTCTCTAATTTTTTTTCTCTCATAATGCATGCATGCATACAGAAAAATAATACAAAATACAGAATATCAACTGGCCAAAATTAAACAAAAAGGCCAAAATTCATTTTCACTGACTAAAATCAATTCAGATTTAGACCTCAGGGTCTGACTTAGAACATCAAAATTTCTCATGATTCGTGGTGAAAGTCAAATCATGGCAGGGCTCTGGTTCATTGCTGAAGTACTAGACCCAAGATCTGATATCTCCTTTCAATTAACAATTATGTAATTTCTAATTTTTATTCAATTTATAGCCCATAAAATCCTGGCCTGCTAATGGAAAAATAGGATTTAAAACAGGCATTTCATTATACTTTTGGTCAAGTCATGGTTCCTCTGAATACACTTCCTCTGAATAAAACAATGTATCAAACTGGGTCAAATCCTACTACATCTAAATTTTGCCGTATTTTATTTTTAGGTATGAAGCACTTACTAAATTTTTTTTTTTTAATTTTATTTGTTTGACAGAGAGAGAGAGATCACAAGTAGGCAGAGAGGCAGGCAGAGAGAGACAGAGGGAAGCAGGCTCCCCACCAAGCAGAGAGCCCAATGCGGGGCTCGATCCCAGGACCCTGAGATCATGACCTGAGCCGAAGGCAGAGGCTTTAACCCACTGAGCCACCCAGGCGCCCCAGCACTTACTAAATTTTAATTCATTGCTACTGCTCTGTTCATTTTTGTTAAAACAATGAGAAAAACAGGCAGCAAAATTTTAATATAATTTTTATTTCTGTTTATGTTTTTAACCTCTATCAGCCTTTGAGAAAACAAATTTTCTTTTCCACGGGTTTTCTCTTTTAAAACTAAAAGGTTCTAATTTTATATCATATGCATATCTCTACAACCACTATGATTTCTTTCTTAATATACAAAAACCAGAACTCATGACCTAGTCCAGACATTCATTCACTTCATCTTTGAAAACTGAATAAAAATGTTCAATTTTGGGGGCACCTTGGTGGTTCAGAGAGTTAAGCCTCTGACTTTGGCTCAGGTCATGGTCTCAGGGTTCTGGGATCTAGACCCACGTCGGGCTCTCTGCTCAGTGGGGAGCCTGTTTCCTTCTCTCTCTGCCTGCCTCTCTGACTACTTATGATCTCTCTCTGTGTCAAGTAAATAAATAAAATATTTTTTTAATGTTCAATTTTTTTCTCAATAGCATCCTACATCTTATTGGTCATTATGGACATAGCACACATTTCCAATAACTGCATTTTTCTGACTGTTTAACTTAAAGAAATCAGCTGAAAAAAAAATCTAATCTTAGGGAATGTAATATATTATACATAGGTCTTCAAAAGAACACCAAATGGAGCATGTTATACAGTCTACATGATAGGATCTTTGGAAGGATGATGTCAGCAAAAATAGCAGAGTTGGGGCCTTATAAAATTCTCTTCCCCATAAAAGCAATGATAAAAAGAGCAAAAATAGAACTAACTTTTTTAGAACTCTGGAAATTAACAAAGGTTTACAGCAATCTAGGAAACATTTATTCAAGAAAAAGCACTGAATTTTGGATTAAAAAAAAAGAGAGAGCATGCTTTGCAGCATTTTCTCATGTCCTGTTCGAATCCTCCACTCTATAGCTCTGAGACAGCTTTAAAAACCAAAGCCTGCAATCATAGTGAAAACCAACAACCTGCATTTACACTATAAACCAATAGCCTGAGAGCCACCAGAGGGGGAAAATGAGAATGCATCTCCTTTAAAGCCTCATTTCCAGAGCACTATCATTATTTGCCCTGTCTTATTTGACCTATTATTTGACCCACTTATTTGACCCATAGTTCCATGGAAAACCCCACACTCTAGTTTGTGGTTTTTTTGCCTGACTTTGAGCTCACTCAGTGCAAGAACTATTTCCCCAGGAGCATTTGTCAAAAACAATTAAAGACAATTAATTAACTTCATGGTGGCTATATGAGAGAGGGGATAACAGTTTGAATAAACAAAATGAAAGGCTAGGGAACAAGATGCCCACAGGGAGCTGGGCCTTGAAAATCTCCCAACATATTTCTAGAAATCTGGAAGCCCACATGATGCATAGGACTATATCGATGTCCAGGGCTGTACACATGCTCAGGAAAAATCTGAGAAGGCCCTAGGTTCTCACTGCAGGCTGACTCTGAAATTCTACAAAATTAAGAAGGTAAAGTTATTAACTGTGTAACTAAGTGTTGAAGTTTTGCCCCAACACACAAAGAGCACACTTTAGAGAGGCAGAAAAACTTTGAATCTACGTGTTTAAGAAAATTTTTGTCCAAACACTAGCTGACTACTAAGATAACCAAACATAGACTTTAGTGAACATACATGAAAAAAAAAAAAAAAGACATCATAGAATTAGTTCAGAAAAAACACTAGGAAAACAAACAACAATCATGGGGAGGGAGGAGGCTCTGATTTCTAGTGCTGCCACATTATATTATTTAAGATGTCCAGTTTTTGGGGGTGCCTGTCTGGCTCCATCATTAGGGCATACAATTCTTGATCTCTAGGATGTGAGTTCAAGCCCCACATTCATTATAAAGATTACTTTAAAAGAAAATCTCTTAAAACATGTCCAGTTTTCCAAAAAAATTATTAGATGTGAAAAGAAACAAGAAAACAGGGCCTATCCACAATAAAAGAAGCATTCAACAAAAAACCTGCCCTGAGGAAGATTAGACACTGGACTTACTAGACAAAGACTTTGAAGAAATTATTCAAATTTTGTTCAAAAAATAAAGAAAACTATGCCTAAAAAACAAAGTAAGAATGATAAGTCATCAAATAATAAAAAGTAAAAAGATAGAAATTATTTTAAATAAACCACACAAAAACTCTGGAGTTAAGAATACAATAACTGGAATGAAATGTTTACCAACGGGACTCAGCAGCATATCTGACCAAGGAGGAAGAAAGAATCAACAAACTTGAAGATAGTTGGTTAAGATTATTCAATATGAGGAACAGAAGAAAATGAATGAGGAAAAATGAACAGAACTTCAAAGACGTAGCTGACAATATCATGTGTATCAACATACCTATACTAGGAAGCTAAGAAGGACAGAAACAGCAGAAAGGGGAAAGATTATTTGAAAAAATAATGATGAAAAAATCTTCTAAGTATGATGGAAAAAGCAAAGCTACATTTACAAGAAGCTCAGTGAAATCCAAGCAAGATAAACTCAGAGAGTCATACCTACACATATCACAACCAAACTGTTGGGAGACAAAGATAAAGAGAAAATCTTGAAAACGGGGGGGGGGGGGAAAGGTGACTCATCACATACAAACAATATGTATGACAAACATACAAACAATTCCAGGAAGATTAAAAGGCAATTTCTCATCAGAAACCATAAAGACCAGAAGGCAGTGGGAATGACATTTAAAGTGCTTAAAGAAAGAATAGCAACCAAGAATTCTATACCCAGCAAAACTATGCTTCAAAACTAAAGGAGATATTATAGCATTTCCAGGTGAAGAAAAGTTAAAAGAATTCATTACTTGCAAACCTGTCCTATAAGAAATACTAATGAGAATTTTCCAGGCAGAAATGAAAAGCCATTAGAAAGTACTCAAATCCACACGAAGAAAGAAAGAGCACTGGAAAAGGTAACTGCATAGATAAATATAAAAGACAGTATAATTTGGGGTTGTTTTTAGCTTTTTTCCTAATATATGATTTAAAAGATAACTGCATAAGGCAATAATTACAAATCTGTAAGGGGCACACAGTGTATAAAGATGTAATCTGGATAATGATAACAGTACAAATGAAGGGAAGCGATGAGAATTATATGGGAACAAAGTTGTGACATGTTATTGTAATTACGTTGGCACTGATCCACTTATATTCATTATAAGTGAATATGTTAATTGTAATTCTCAGGGCAATATGGAAGAAACTAACTCAAAAAACAGTAAAATAAATGACAAGAGAATTAAAATGTTACACTAGAAAACATCTATTTAACCAAGAGAAAGTAATGCAGAAATAAAGGAATAAAAAAAGGCGTAAGCCATGTAGAAAACAAATAGCAAAATAGCAGATGTAAATCCTACCTTCTTAGTCCATACAAAGTGTAGGGGCCTGGTTAGCCAGAGGGAGTCGTTTGGTTGTAAACTTAGATTGACCCCGCCCCTCCCAGAGGAACTTACTTGCAAACCCCCAATGTAGGGGCGGGCCAGGCCGGATGGAGACATCCAATCAGTGGGGCACGCATATATTTACTGTGGTGAGTTGAAATCTCATTGGCCACCTGTGTGTGGGCCGGGCTCAACCACCTCTATAAAGGTTAGTCTGTGAGGCTGGGAGTGGGGGGGAGTAGTAGGAGGAGTTAGAATAGCTGTTGGAGTAGCCGTTAGAATAGCCGTCTGGAGCAGCGCCACCGCGAGCGGCCTCGCTGACCCAAGGAGCGTTCCCACCATGAGTGGCCTCGCCAGAGCGGTGTCATTCTGGGGAGCAGCCTCGTCGTGGAGCAGCCTCGTCCGGAGTGGCCTCATCCAGAGCGGCCTCATCTGGGGAGCGGCCTCACCGGCGAGCGGCCTCGTCCGGAGCGGGGTCGTCTGGGGAGTGGCCTTATCAGAGTGGCATCATGGGGAGCAAAGTCTGTGTCGTCGGGGTTGTCATCTTCATCGTCATCGTCGCCTCTTCGTCGTCGGGAGCGGCCTCGTCCAGGGAGCAGCCTCGTCCAGGGAGCAGCCTCGCAGGGGAGTGGCCTCGCTGGAGCGGTGTTATCATCCTCGTTGTCATCGCCTCTTCGTCGGGAGTGGCGTCCTCATCGCCATCGCCTCTTCGTAAGAGATGGCCCCCACCGGTCGGTTTGATTTTCAATGCTTGGCGCGAAATAAAGCTTTGTTTGATTTTCGCTTTGTGTCAGTCTCGTTCCTTTGATCACGGACCCTAGCATAAAGAAATGTTATTTCCTCCATAAAAAAAAAAAGAATGAAGTACTGATTCAGATACATGGTTGAATCTTGAAAACATTACGCTAAGTGAAAGATGCTCAAGAGGTCACCTATTTTTTATTTTATTTATGTGAAATATCTAGGAGAGTCAAATCCACTGAAACAGAAAGTAGGGGTGGTGCTAAGGTGTGAATGTTTGCATTATCCCAAAACTTATATCTAAATCCAAAACCCCAAGGTGATAGTATTAAGAAGTGGAAAGTGGGGCCATTAAGAGATAACTAGGTCATAAGGGCAAAGCCTTCATGAATGGGATTGTGCTCTCATAAAAGTGACCCCACAAAATTATCTGCCATGTAAGGATACAACAAGAAGGTGGAGATGTCTGAGAACTAAGGAGGGTCCTCACCCAACCTTACTGGCACCCTGATCTAGGAATTCCAGATGCCCGCTCCCTCTGGCTAACCAGATGCCAAAATTGTGAGAAACAAATGTCTGTTATTCAAAAGCCACCCAGCCTATGATATTTTGTTAAATCACTCCTAACAGACTAAGACAAGTGGGAAGTGATTTCCAGTAGGTACACAATTTCTTCGGGGATGATTAAGTGTTCTGGAATTAGATGGTGTTGATGGTTGTACAAACTTATGAATATAATAAAAGGGTGAATTTTATGATATGTGAATTATATCTCAATATTTTTAAATACTTAGAATCAGGGACTATTTTATTAGGCCCCAGAGCACCTACCTCAGGATGCAATCAATAAGCACTAAATAAAAGGCAACTGAAGGATAATGCTAATGGCAGAACATGGCCTACACCAAATCTGAGTTGGAAACTCAGATTTGATCAATATTTCTGCTGCCCTTTCTTTAGAGACCATTCACTAATTTTAACGATATCTCTCAATTCTGTAAGCAGAAAAGCCTTTGGTGTAGAGATAACAACCATTAACTTCATTTTCATGAATACCCATCACTTTTTTTTCTTTGCTCCATTCCCTGTCATTATACTAGGAGAAAGCAATGTCTAGGTAGTTAACCCATCCCACAATCTAACCTCTGATTTCATTAACTGCCTTAACTCCAGTAACTGCCCAATAGCACTCCTCATGAGCCACCACCCACATATATATAACAACATGCTGAAACTTGTTTTCACCTTAAACTGCCCCATGATAAAAATATTAATTGTAAACATCTCTTCTCCTGGCCATAATCTCCTAATCTTCATGTTCTCTTCCTCTTCACTCTTACTTTACTTGTTCACCTACCTCAAAATACTTCTATGTTTTATCCCATTCTATTAATCATTTAATTGGCCTAAAAAATACCAGTGTGGACAGAAAGTAATAAGATAGGAGAGAGGTAGGAAACAGAGTCTGGAAAGTCAGGGAGAGACTCAATTTCATAATGACAATTTGGACCTGAAAAGGAGTAGGGATTTTATGCTATTGAAAGATTTTATTCTATTGAAATTTTATTAAAAGCCATTTAAACAGAAAAAGGACAATTCGATTTGCAATTTTAAAAGCTTACTCTGGCTCTTTTAAGAGAAGAGTGTAAACAGGGAGGCAAATAAAGAGGATCGTACAGAAATTTGGGTAGGTCAGGGCAACATTTTGGACTTAAGTGATGATAGCAAAAATGGAGAGAAATTAATAAATTTAACATATATCTTGGAGACATAATAAACAGGATGAATTAGATGTGGTGGTTGACAGAAAAAGATGTATCCTTAATGATACCTTGAGTTTTTGCTGCTTCTTGGTGAATTGGTTATTTTATCATTATATAATATCCTTCTCTGTCTCCAGTAATTTTCTTTGTTCTAAAATCAACAGGGGTGCCTGGGTGGTTCAGTCATTAAGCATCTGCCTTCGGCTCAAGTCATGATCCCAGGGTCCTGGGATTGAGCTCCGCATCAGGCTCCCTGATCAGTGGGAAGCCTGCTTCTCCCTCTCCCACTCTCCCTGCTTGTGTTCCCTCTCTTGCTGTGTCTCTCTCTCTGTCAAATAAATAAAATCTCTTAAAAAATAAACAGAATAAGCTTTACTTGATATTAACATAGCCACTTGAGCTTTCCTTTGATTGATGTCTGCATGATGCATTTTTCTATCTTTTTACTTTCAATCTGCCTATGTGGTTATGATTGAACTTCTTTTTTTTTTTTTTTTTTTAAGATTTTATTTATCCATTTGACAGAGATCACAAGTAGGCAGAGAGAGAGGGGGAAGCAGAGAGCCAATCCCAGGACTCTGGGATCATGACCTGAGCCAAAGGCAGAGGCATTAATCCATTGAGCCACTCAGGCGCCCCTGAAGTGAACTTCTTATACACAGAACATAGTTGGGTCATGTTTTTTAATCCAATCTGCCAATCTTTTAATTGACATACTGGACCAATTACATTTAATGTAATTATTGCTAAGGCTTAAATCTGTCACTTAAGTTTTTTCTTTTCTGTTTTTTTCTCTCCATTTTCTTTTTTCTACTTTGCTGTGGACTACCTGAACATTTTTTAGAATCCATTTTAAATTACCAATAATTTTTTAAATATCTCTTTGTACAACTTTAGGGGTTACTTTAGCTATCACATTATCAATGTAGCTATGTAATTATCCAGAGACATTATCTAGATATTACATTAGTTTTATATGTATATTATTTCATATACATATTTATAATATATAAAATAACAATCTACAGGTATCATCATTACTGTTTGTCTGAAATATAGATACCTAATCTTCCATTATGTCCCTTTACCACTCTCCATTTAGAATGTTATTGTCCTATATAATTCTTCTACATTCATTTAGAACCACATGGGTGTCAATTTTTGTTTCAATAATCATACATAATTTAGAAAATTTAAGAGCAGAAGGAAAGTCTATTTTATTTTACCCATATTTTAACTTACTGTTTTCTCACTTCCTGATTTTCTAAGGTCCCTTCTTTGATCACATCATTTCTGTTTAGAGAATTTCCAATCTAGCATAGTTCTGCTGGCAATAAATTCTCTTAGTTTTCCTTAATCTGAGAATGTCTCGATTTCACCTTCTTTCCTGAAAAATATTTGTGTGAAGTATAGAATTCTGGACTGGAGGCACCTGGGTGGCTCAGTCAGTTAAGCATGTGACTCTTGATTTTGGCTCAGATCACGATCTCAGGGTTGTGAGATCAAGCCCCAAATAGGGTTCTATGCTGGGCGTGGAGCTTGCTTAAAATATTCTCTCTCCCCCTACTCCTCCCTCTCTTACTCCTCCTCCCCACTCCACATGCACTCCCTTTCTCTCTCTCTCTCCCCCTCTCTCTCACCATCTGATAATATTGTGCCACTCCCTTCCTTTTGGAATCCATTGTTTCTGGTAAGAAATCTACAAATGTCTGAAATTTTACTCTGGTACTTTAAAATTTTTTCTTTTTAATACTCAGAATTTTAAATATTATTATACAACTTGTCATAGATTTATTTAGGTTTATTGTGTTTGGAATTCATTTAGCTTCTTGATTTGCTAGATTCATTTCTTTAGATTTGTGTCTCTTGCCAAATTTGAGAAGTCTTCAGCCATTATGTCTTTGAATATTTTTTAACTCCACCCTCTTTCTCCTTTCCTTCTGGGCCTCTGAAGACAGAGATCTTTTCTTTTAATCACACAGGTCCCTAAGGCTCTGGTCTTTTTTTAATTTAATTTTATTTTCTGGTCCTTTTTAAAAAGTGTACTTTCTGTGCCAGACCCAGTGCCAAGAGGAATCCCCTCGGTTAGGATGTCCCCTCATGGGGGGAAAAAAACCCCAGGAAGAACCTAGTAGCCTTTGCTCTAGGACACCTACAGCCTTAGCCACAATTACTGCTGAAGACAACTACACTGACCATCAAGGAACCTTTCAGTTTTGGACATCTATCAATCTCAGCTGACAGAGCTACATGGAGATAACACCACTCCAACTCCCACAACAGAACCAGAGACTCTGCACTCTACCCCGCCAACAGGCTTATAGCAGCTCACAGGTGAAATTCTTTCCCCACTAAAGCCAGTCCAAAAAGGCTGGAAGAGGTGACTACTCCCTCAAATAACCAGATATTAACACAAGGCCACTAGAAATGTGGAAAAGCAAGGAAACATCATACCACCAAAGGAACACAATAATTACCCAGTAACTTACCCCGAGGAAATAGAGATCTGCAAATTACCTGAAAAAGAATTCAAAATAATTATTAT